GTTGAATGTGGGGTATTTCTATAGGTTATAAGAAATTTTGCTAACTTCTCTTGAATTGGCTTCGAACTTTCTTCCATTGAACGCAGTGCCTGTTTGAATGTTTGCCCTGATCTTTCTGCAAGGCCATTTGTAGCAGGGTGGTATGGGGCAGAGGTGATGTGTTTTACTCCATTAGATTTCATAAACGACCGGAATTCTTCTGAGACGAATTGGGGGCCATTATCGGAGACAACCTGTTCCGGGATTCCGAATCGTGCAAACAAATTTCTTAGTACTTCAATGGTCTTCGCTGCGGTTGTCGACTTCATAGGAATTACTTCTGGCCACTTGCTGTGTGCGTCGACCACCACCAGGAACATAGGATCCGTAAAAGGACCAGCATAATCAATATGTACACGTTGCCATGGTGAAGTGGTCCATTCCCATGGGTGTAAGGATACCTTGGATGGCATCTTTTGGTTCTGTAGACAACTACTACAGGTTTTCGCTACGTTCTCCAACTGTTGGTTGATGTTTGGCCACCACACATAGCTTCGTGATAGGGCCTTCATCTTGACGATACCCAAATGACTATCATGTAGCTCTCGCAGAATTCTCTCTTGCAACTTGCTAGGGATGACCACTCTCATTCCCCAAAGGATACAACCTTGATGAACTGTAAGTTCACTCTGTCGGTCATGGTAGGGCTTGTCTCCCTCGAAACGTGCTGACCAACCTTTAACTATTGAATCATAAACTCTGGCTAATATGGGATCACGATTTGTCTCTTTAGCTACCGATTCACTGGTGACTGGGAGAATGTTTAACTGGGTTGCATGAAACACTTCAGCTGCATCCACAGCTGTATCCTCTTTCTCCGTCATTGGCAGTGGTAGTCGTGATAGACCATTTGCATTACAGTGTTCTTTCGTATTCTTGTACTCAATGTCGTATTCGAATCCAGCTAGGAACAATGCATAGCGTTGGAGTCTTGCGGCCGTCATTATGGGTATTCCTTTTTCTGGATGGAAAATGGATGTCAGAGGTTTATGGTCAGTGACTAATGTAAACCGTCGCCCATACAAATATATGTGAAACTTCTTGACCCCCCATACAATTGACAGTGCTTCCTTGTCAATCTGGGAATACTTGCGCTCCGTCTTGGTGAGGGATCTGGATGCAAAAGCCACTGGTCTTTCACTTCCATCTGCCATAACATGCGACAACACTGCACCAATTCCGGTTGGTGAAGCATCACATGCGATCTTAACTGGAAGCGTTGTGTCGTATTGTAATGTATTACCATGTCCTACAGTCAGCGACCATGATGCGCCTTACGTTTGCATTAATATAAGAGCTTGCAGATTCCAGCCACGATTTAAATTACTACGCGATGAAAAACAGTTTGATGAAAAAGCTTTTATAGGCGATATTGCATCACTTCCATTCAATATCGTTTACGGTATCGATGATCCAGATCAGCAACTAGATATATTTAACTCATTAATAAAAGATTGCCTCGACAGACATGCACCACTACGCAGATCTAAAATCACGCGCCCTCCTGCGCCCTGGTTAAATCACAGTGATGTGAAACAACTTCAAAAAGAACGAAACGAGCTCAGATATTTAGCTCACAAAACAAACCTGAGTCATGTCTGGAATAAATTCCGCGTAGTAAGAAACACTATACAGACAAACATTAAGAAGGTCAAGACAGCATTCTATCAGAAAGCATTATCATCAAAAAAAACGAAAGAACTTTGGAAAGTAATACACCGCACACTTCATCCCAATCCCAAACCTATAAATGCGGATCCCGACCAATTGAACAGCCACTTCAGCTCTACCTCGCAACGTCTACTCGGGTCAGTGCCGACTTCCCCAAGTGCTTTGCAAGAACTAGTAAACTCATTACCAGTCTGTATGTCCAACTCGTTTAATATTTGTCCTGTTGCCCATAGTGAAGTACTGAATCAGTTAAGAACAATAAGATCTGACTGTTCGACAGGAATTGACCAGATTCCGGTAAAATACCTTAAGATGGCAGCTGATTACATCGCCTCACCATTGACCTATATCATCAACGGGTTTATTGCAACTCACAGCTTTCCAGATGTTTGGAAGACTGCATGTGTGTCACCTATACCCAAAGTAGCCTCTCCGACAGAGTTAGACCATTATAGACCAATTTCTATTCTCCCGGCTCTTACCAAAGTCTATGAACGCCTCATTCTAAATCAAATTGTAAAATACATCGACCAGCATAATGTATTAAACGAGAATGTTACTGGCTTTCGTAAAGGCCATGCCACCTCATCTGTCCTATAACGAGTAAGAAACGATGTATTAAAGGCTATGAAAAAAGGAGAAATTACTCTTATTGCATTCGCCGACTTCTCGAAGGCGTTCGATACAGTGGACTTTGCCGTAATAATAAAGAAACTTCATGCCATTGGCTTTTCACACTCATCGTTAAATTGGATTCTTAACTACCTTACTGGTCGGAAACAACTTGTTCAAGTAAATGACAGCCAATCTGAACTAGCAGACGTGTTGTTTGGTGTTCGCAGGGATCGATATTGGGTCCCATGCTTTTCAACCTTTACGTCAACGACCTCCAAAATGATTTTACCTGCAGGTGCTTCCAATATGCCGATGATACAACAGTTTACCGTAGTTGTACTCCTAAAAATCTCAGTCAATGTGTGCAAGAAATGAATGACAACATACAAACTCTCGAAACTTGGGCCACAGAATCCAATCTCTTGTTGAATGAAAATAAGACTAAGCAGATGCTGATAAGCACTCGACAGATGTCAAGAACTCATAATCTCGGAGACATCACGCCACCTCTTACCATAAAGAATATATCCAGGGGCGTAGGAAGCGGGGGGGCACGGGGGGCACGTGCCCCCCCAAATTTTTTTAAAGGACTAAAAGTGCCCTTTTTTGTGATAAAAAGTGCCCTTTTTGTGTTGAAAAGTGCCCTTTTTTGTGAGGAAAAGTGCCCCTTTTGTAGAAGCTAATGTCGCTGTAAATACTAAATTAAAACAATAGGTGCCGTTTTTGTGTGGAAATTTACAAATTTTTTTTAAAAATTAGGTCACAAACATAAATTTCGGTATGATACGACAGAAAATTTTCCTCAGGAGAAATTTCTCTCCTCCCCCCCCCCGTCGACAACATTTCCGGGAAAAAAATTTTAGGTGCCCTTTCCGATAGTAATGTGCCCCTACAAGCCGGTGCCCCCCCAAACTCCAGGTGCTTCCTACGCCCCTGAATATATCCCTTGAAAGAGTTGAAAATTTTAAATTGTTCGGTACGTGGCTTAGTGAGGATCTCAAATGGTCACATCATGTAAAGGAACTTGTCTCGTCTTGTTATGGAGTACTTTCAACCTTGCGCAAAATTCGGAATATGACACCCCAACATACTAAAAAGCTATTAGCGGAAAGTCTTGTACTTTCTAAGTTAAACTTTAATGATGTCGTTTGCTATCCTCTCCCCGCATATCTACAAAAGAAAATGCAACGTGTGCAAAACGCTGCTGCCAGCTTCGTCACTAATCGTTATTGTTCAGGAAAAGATGTCTTACAGCTTGGATGGCTTCCAACCTTGGAAAGAACTCAATTAAACCTCCTCAAGCATACTCACCGAGCAATCTACAACAAGGACTCTTGTCCTGAGTACTTAACCCTGGAAGTATATAACCCTGGAAGAACGCTACGCTCTAATGCAGCACCACGATTGTCGATTCCATTAATAAAAGAAACTTTCCAGGAGACAACAGCGAACTTATTCAATGATCTTCCCCCAGAAGTACGATCATGTGCAGACTTAAACGTATTCATGAGGGAAGTGAAACAATTACTGAAATCCAAAGCATTCCTACGCCTTGAATAGACTTATTTGTATTGTATTAGTGCAATGTTTCTTCTTATTAACAATTTAGTTTAAATTTATAACAATTATTAACAATTTATATATATTTAATTTTTTTCAGTTACGCAGATGTAAAGCTACCATGTAGATAAGCTGCAATAAAGTCTTTATTATTATTATTATTATTATTATCTGATTGCATGGATAAAGGCGTGTGCACACGTCATCATTCGTCGTTGCAATTAGACGAATTAAATATTACAAACGTATATCAATCACGTAATCATGTTTAGTTGTTTTTGAATTTTGACTTTTACTTTTGAGCCAAAAAAAATTTCAACAACTGCCTCAAACAAAGTCAAACAAGTTTAAAACTGTTTTGATTTTTGTCTTAAAAAACTGTGGCAATGAAAACATAAGATCTAGAGCTTAAGAAATGAGAAATACATAAACAACCGAGTGTTCAACGTTATTCATTGTTAAAATGAATATGAAATTCGTTATATAATTTCTTTCCAATTTCAAGTGAAATCTGCGAGCGAGGAAGACGCTTTGTGTATGTACTGTTTTGAAGAAAAATATGCAAGTAGGGTGTCATATTTCGGTCGCACTTAAAGGCCAATTAATCTTGAAAATTTTTTACGATAAGAATCTTTCTTTGTCGTATTTTTTCGGCTGTTTTGCTCAAAAATTATCTCGCAAGTTTGTTATATTTAAGTCTTGTTATTTTACGAAACACTACAACCGAAATTTGGCAACCTGTTTGGCCGGGTTTTTTTTGTTCAAAATAGTGGATACACGAAGCTTAATAAAGCGCTTTCCTCGGTTTGCAACAGATCTGTCGCAAGTTGTTGAAAACAGCATTGCTGCAGCTCTGTGTCAACAACTTGCGACATGTCTGTTGAAAACAGCATCACAGAGTAAATACGTACAGAACTAGAACTGGCCGTCGTAAACACTGCGGAAACTTACGTTTTCCTGTACCCACTTTTTTTCAAGCGACTGGACAGAAAATGTTCAACTGCGCGTGCTCGGCAAGTTCCGCCAGCAGTTAAAGCTTTCCAATGGGATGCATGCATCCGGAAACTTGCCGAGCACGCGCACAAAAAAGTGGGTACACTAGTTATATGTATCCACTCTGTGACAGCATTGCTGCAGCTCTGTCACAACAGCTTGTAACAGACCTGTTGACAAGCCGTTACTGATCTGTTATGACAGACAGGTACAAGGCGAGCGAACGCATCCAGATATCGGCTTGTTGACAACAAGTTGTAACAGACTTGCTGCAGATCTGTGCCGACTTGCGCAAGAAATTGGCTGTGTAAGTGACAACATGTTTCAGTGCGAAATCCATTGTGTCATAGACGTTGGATGGCTTTTTTGGTTATGCACATGCCGAGTACCGATCAATCAAGAAGAGAATGGTAACTACCAAACTTGTGATTGGCTAAGATAAACAAACTTTTTTTCTCGTGCTACGTTGCAAGTGCAACGGTCACTTTATGAGTCTAATTTGTTATAGTTTTATCATTTTGCTAATTAAAATTTGCTAAAGAAAGTTCACAAAACTGAAAAGAAAGGGTGAGATTAACAAGATCGTTATCGTGGCTTGGGAGCGTGGACCAAATTAAACTTGCATACTAATGACTTCTGCCACCAGAGTGCTAGCTGAGCAAAATTACGTCATTGTCGGCATCCCTTTGTACTCCAGATATGGATTGTAGAATAACAATCCATGGTATTTTGATGTGCACTTCATGTATCACAATTAAATGCATCGCAAAACGTACCACACTCTACAGGATTTATATATTATTGAGAACCTGTGATTAAAAGTTGGGCTATACATAAAATAGTTTGGTCGTCGCTTACGAGGTCGAGACAAGTTATACATTTAAACACTCAGCCATGCATATAGGCTATAAAATGTAAATTTACGTTAAATTATTCATGTTTGTTTACACTTCTTACTTGTCTCGTCAGTTACACATGTCATATTGTATCTGTTCGAATCAGCATTACTTTGATAACAGATTAATTAAACTGAAAGCGGTAAATTTAGAATTCGTTTCAAAACTGAATCACTGACAGTCACTGAAGAGAATTGTTTTTATACAGCTATCGCTCTTAGTCTAAAGCTTTAAAAGTAATCTTACTATATTCCTGTTATACATGTTTAAAATACAAAAATCTAAACAACTAAAGTAAATCATACATTTTGATCAATCCAATGCACGATATTCAAAATGAAAATTCCTAGAAACTCGTTCTTTGGATTGACTTACTTCAGCCTACTCTCCCACGGGACAAAGTAAATTAAGATGTCACGCGACCCGAGCGTGAACCAGGGTGTCTGCTGGAGCGTGCTTCGGAGGGAAGCGGAAGTAGAGATCCTGGCTTGCGAGGTTGAGTACCAAACAAGCATTTCAAAGCAACAATGCAGATTTTGAAACACAAAGTAGCTATAAAAGAATACTTTGGTGTCTTTGTTGTTTAATTTGGCAGTAGCATGGTGCAGAAAATAAGTTTTCTGAAACTCAAATTTTTCAAAATTTCCTTTGGGAAGCATATGCCTACACTCCAAGAAAATTTTCATAGCTGCCAAATTACTGATAAACGTAATTAGTTACGATTATGATTCCTTACTTTATACTTGCAACTAATAGTCCTAACTACAGTATTCCTAAATGTTTTACACGCCCACTCTGGAAACCAGGTTTAGCTGACAACGTTAGCGTGTTTAAATAATCATCACGTATGTTGCATTTGGTATCAAAATGACCATCACGATTTATCGTCTTTAATTAAGGCCGTAAACATTTCTGCGTTACACGAGACACAGTGATTCCAACTATAGCGGTGAAACCATAGAAATTTTACATCATGTTCTTCCGCTCGTCAACATCTCCTCCTTGTTGCGCAAAATTCTTTTTCCAAATTGCAAAATGTCAAATGTGAATTCACAAATAGCTACCGTTATTTGCATCTTTAACGAACAAAGAGTGTACAAGATTTCTTTCGGGTGTGAATTAAATAGACAAGCGGAATTAGTACGCTCACCACGAGGATCGCGGATAATAGCCTATTTCTGCAGCGACATTAATGACATATTCTCTTCGCACGAAAATGCTAGTCATATTGTGGGAGAGTTGATCAACATAGAAAGTCATTCTCCATACATGACGAAAGTTCGACCTTGTTATAGCTACACATGTTGCACTGCTAACAATTCTTACAAACAGAGCATATTACTTTAAATAATTAAATTACATATCTACAGGGTTGATTGTATTCTTTTGAAACCATCTAATTAACTTAAATTTTTTTCTCGCTTTCGTTTATTTTTAAACCGTTTAATCTTTTTCACCAGCCAGTCTAATTTTCTCTCGGTAACATTCGTTCCTGTGGCGACAAATTGACCATTGATGCAAATGTGATGGGGTTTCTCGATAGACTCCAAACCATAGAATTTTCTTAAAAGTGAATCAGAATTACTCGGGCAGCGCGTTATTATATCTGCAAATGAACACGATCTAATCGGGTATATTTCTCGCTCGTCAAACTGCAACTCTGGATATGGATTATAGACGTGACCTGTTTTGTATAGATAGACATCAATGAAGTTGTACTGGCCTAGTATTATACGAGCAGCCGGGGATACAATGGAACAGGGGTCCATCTTCGTGTCCACCAACACTCCTTCGCAATTCAATCTTTTTCCGTTGACAAAACTCCGAGCAATGATTGTGTGAGGCAGTTTATCTCGTACATTGATAGGTCGTTGAGATTCCTTCTTTATTAAACTTGGGAAGTCTTTTTCATTAAGGCAAATGTCTATATCGTGGTCATAAGGTATAAAATCTTTAGTGCGTTGATATCCCATCAAAGAACCGTAGCATAAAAAATATTCTAAGTTGCTATTCGCCATTAATTTCATCCAGTTTCTTAAAAGTTTCTGCAAACGTCGTCGAAATGGGTTGCCTCCACATCCTGGACCATAAAAAGCGTCTTCTGTGAGTTTATTGTTTGGATTTAAAACAAATTCTAAATTATTTTCCGGAACAAATTCTATTTCCATTTTCTTTATCTTTATCTTCCGTCGATGTCTGGTACTTTCATCCATTTCACTATAGTTTTCTTTGTGTGTATATTTGGCCCGAAAAAGCTGCCTATTCTCATCAGAGATAGCTTGATATTCAGTGAGTAAAATATCTTCACGACTGAGCTCTGTCGTATGGCAGTTAGATGTGTTTGAATTGCGCAAACCAGAATTGTATATAAGCCATGTGACCCAAAGATAAGAAACACACCCTAGCCAAATAAGCACGTTCATAGATGTATTTTTTCTGTAAATTACACGCATATTCGATTGTAATATTGTAATATTGTAATATTTTATATTCGATTTCTATTGTACATGCAGGATGAATATAGTTCCCCTCATAAAAATCTGATAGCCGCCTGGTGTACTGTCTGGTGGCCTTTCTATTCCCGAACTAGTTACATTATCAACAGAGCGACAACAAATAATTTATTTAACACTCAAAGGAACGCGTCTGACAATTAAATGTTAAGATGTTCAGCTAAATTACAAACAGAACGGTGAAAGCCAACTGCAAAAACTATCAACTAACTGGGAATACATGCAACAAACCCTCGCCTTAATTTGTTTTCTTATTTTTTTAAAAGACATCCATGGTCGTGTTTATTTGCTATTTTTTAAAAGTTTTTTTTCCCTATTAGCACATTGCAACGGCGCAATATGGATTTGCAGGTTCATATGTTCGTTTCGGTGCATGCTATATGAAGACAAACATACTACTGTTCGAATCAGTGAAACCGGCAATAATCTCCTAACTAATAATTCCTATAATGTTAGTTTTAATCAAATGTCAACAATATCGCGATTGATGACGTTCTCGAAGTTATTTTCAAGCGATATCATATTTCATTACATATTACTCAATTTTCTGGAACATGCAGTGTAAGCTATAATATCTGCACCTTTCGCCGAACATAATCTCGATGCCTTCGGACATATCTTTTTTGCAATATAGTCTTAATCCAATAAGCATCCAAAATAATATTTAGAGTGTTATGTTCAACCTTGTGCCTTCAGATTTTCATTTTATAGAATAGTTTTAGCGCGGGTCTTGAACAGGCAATATAACTGGAATTTATATATGATATATGTATACATGAATGTTTGGTCAGAGCTCGACAGCTGCACCGGAACGCTTGCAGGGCCGCAGATTTAATTCCTGCCAGGGACCTACTGTAAAGTTGGATTTTTCGCAAACGGTATTACTCGATGAATATAAATTATGCATATCTTTCGCCGAACATAACTTCGGCCGCTCGGGACGCATCCTCTTTGTAATAGTCTTGTTCGAAATAGAATTCAAAACCTTATTTGGAGTGTTATTTTTCAGCTTGTACTTTAAAATTGCATCTTAATTATTATTGTGGTATTTCAATTTCTGGTCTGATTGTGAACTAATCCCAATTTCAAAACGTAAAAGCAATGCCACATTTGTATCCTACGACTCGGAAAAGGTCGGAAATCGATTCTAAAGTCGAGGCGGCTTTCCACTAGGCGGAATTTTGCGCACGGCGTGGAATTTTTCTTTGTCTTTTCTAATTATAGTTCCACTCGAGAAATCACAAGACAAAGAAAAATTCCGCTCCGCGCGCAAAATTCCGCCTAATGAAAACCGGCTTTATTGACCAATTATAGCGTGCGAGTAAAACCCCAATATTTTGAAAAATTCGAAATTAATATTTCTACAGGCCGTATTCAAACGAAATTTTCTACACGTGAAAGCGCTTGAATACAACGAGACAGTGTTTTACTTATGTTGACGAGTTCACGAGATATTCAAGATTTTCTCGATATGAAATGCAGAATGTTTGGCGAAGCGGTGAGTATAAAATATACGATTGTTTTGGTTTGTGTAATGTTATGACAGCATCTGATCACCCCCGGTTAATTCGAAAGGTTATTTTGTGAGCATTTCAATTTTGGTTTCGGTTTTAAAGGGGGCAAATACTCGTCGAGATATTTCCATCAGAAGCAATTGAATCCCGAAAACAACGTAAATTGTTTGGTAAAATAACTGCACGAAATTAACTTGTTTATATTTTTAAAATGATTTCTCATCATATGATTTCTTCTGCCTCGTACCCAGGCGCTTTAATTAAATAATTACAATACATGAGGTATTCAGGTAGGTAGGTGACGCGCGAAGCGGCTGTTGGGAAGGGTGCGTGCTGGGGAGCGCCTGGCAGTTCTTGTATACTGTCATTAGGGAAAACAAGGAATTTAATACAAAACGTTACCATATCATCATATACTCTGTGTGTAAAACCTTATTTTTTGACGAAGAGTCGAATTGAACGCCATTGGCAAATAATAATAAATTTGTAGATGTTTGATGACATGCAAAATGCGCGAAAAATTATGAGTAAATTTCATGGCAAGTTTACCGTGCGAATATTTCGAATATGTCATTTGGTATTACATGGAGAATAATAGAATGCTATCAGTTGCTTAGTATAAAATAGTAACAGAGAGATGATTACAAACACTGCAAAAAATCAATTTCTTGTTTTAAGAAAATATTACTTATTTTAAGCACAAAATTACTTGTTTTAAGAAAATTTTACTTGTCCCGTGGGTAAGTAAAATATTCTAGGTAAGAATCAGATTTCAAGAAAATTTTTCTTAAAATAAGAAAATTAATCTTGGTTAGAACAAAATTCTTGGTTAGAACAAAATTCTTGGTAAGAAAATTTTTCTAATTTTGTCCCGTGGGTAAGTAAAATTTTCTTATCAAGAATATTTTTCTTATTTCAAGAAAACGTTCTAGCAAAATTTTCTTATTTCTAGAAAAAAATTCTTAGTTTCCCAAGAATTATTTTCTAGTAATAAGAAAATTTTGCTAGAACGTTTTCTTGAAATAAGAAAAATAATCTTAATAAGAAAATTTTACTTACCCATGGGACAAAATTAGAAAAATTATCTTGAATTGAAATCCTGCTAAGAAAATTATTCTAGTTCGATCCGGTGTGCATGGCTTTTAAGAATATTTTTCTTAAATGACAATATGAAACTAGAATAATAATCTTGGCATGATTTTTTGCTGTTGTCATCCTACAATATAAAAACAATTAAGAATGTTTAAAATAATATATTTACCAGCTATACATGAATAGGTTATTAAAGTAATTACTGATAGATAATGTAAAAGTTCTCACACGTAGCAATATTGTTCAATTTCTTGAAAAGCCTTTACCATGTCAGACTGCTGAGTCTGGATGGGTAGTCTAAGTCGAGCAGGTACAGTAGAACAACGCCAGGAAGTAAAGATGGCTTTTACAGTTTCGCTATTCTCGAATGTTGCCAATAGCTCCATGTCATGATCAGCCCTGATACAGTATGTCATTGGGTCTCATTTGCAGCCAGGTAGTCAAGTCTGTGTCTCCTTCCTTTTGAGGAAAAAAAACACAAAAATAGTTTTGGTAACAAGTACACAACCCTCATTAATTAACAGCTTATGTTTTCACTAACAAGCTCAGGGGTGGAAAAAATATTTTACTTTCTGGGACCGCAAAAAGTTCATTGAAAAATTTTCTGCAAATGATCAAGTAAATCGACACTCGGCCAATGTAACTGTGTGACACCTAATAAGTTGTCAAACTGGATGTCATGCTACATGTATATTTACAGAAAAAAATATTTCAGTGCACTGAGAATCTTAAAAAATAACATAAAGCTACTATAGATAACATGCATCAAGGGTCTGATCCTAAAGTAAATACAGATGCAAAATTGGCACTGGGGGGGCACTATCAGGTGGATCCATGCTCTAGCTCCCAGAAAATTTTGAAATCAAGTGTCCCAGATTGGCTAAAAATGCATTTGCCATACAACAATTGTTACATCATTCTATAGTCTAATACATTTCTACACTATCGCAAAACTATCGCACTATTAAGATGGTTGCACTTATAATTGCATTTCTGAGGTCATGGTGTTAATTTTCCTCTGAATTTCTCCTTTTATCTGAATTATTACAATTTTTTCTTTCTTGGGGAAATATTTTCTGGAAACTCAAAAAAATTTCTGGGACCAATGGTCTCGTGGTCCGATACTTTTTCCACCCCTGAACAAGCTATCCCCTGGGGTTATAGACAGAGCAAAATACTATGATGGATGGAACAAGAGACACTGGTAGATAGTTTTTGTTAGCCCATATTAACTTTATCTCAACTATAGGAAAGCTCAAAACTAAGAAGATGTATATGTACAGTGTATACTAAATTTGATTCAGGCCTTACTAAATGAATTTTATAAAATGAAACTATAACCTCACCTCAACAAAGTTCATGATGTCCAGTTTGCTCTTAGCAGGTTGACTTTTTGATTTGAAGAGTGAATTAAATGTTCTTCATTAGGTGAAGTACTTTCTGTAGAATTACATACATTAAAAATAATATTAATTAAGTTACCGGTACATTTTTAATAAAAGCATTGTGATATTTTGAGAGCTAGAAAATGCAATTTTGATTTTTCATATCATTTATTAGTTACCGGTACAGCATAAACCAAAATGCAATTTTCATTTATTATTTTCTATTAACGACACCTAATGTCGGTGCTAATCAGGCGTGGAAAAAATATTTTACTTTCTGGGACCGCAAGAGAACATTGAACATTTTCTGTAAATAGTCAAGTAAATGGACATTTGGACACTGTAATTGTGTGACACTAACAAGTTGTCAATCTGGATGTCATGCTATATTTCACAGGAAAAAATATTTCACTGGAAATAATATTTCACTAAGAATCTTAAAATATAACATAAAACTGACATACATCAAGGGTCTGATCCTAAGGGTAAATACAGATACCAAAAAAGCTAGGGCACTTTTAGGGGACACTATCAGGGAGATCATGCATGCTCCCCCCAAAACGTTTGTCCCAGATCAACTAAAAATGCATTGGCCATACAACATTTTTTACATCGTTCTATAGTCTAATACATTTATACACTATCGCACTATTAAGATGGTTACACTTATAATTATTGCATTTCTGAGGTCATGGTGTGAATTTTCCTCTGAATTTCTCTTTTTATTTGAATTATTACAATTTTTCTTTCTTGGGAAAATATTTTCTGGGAACTCAAAAAATTTTCTGGGACCAATGGTCCCGTGGTCCGATACTTTTTCCACCCCTGGTGCTAATGAATCCAATGTTGGTACCGGTACTCTAATTAATAAAAAAACAAAATGATATCATTTAATTACCAGATCACTGTTCATGTGGTGGCTTCATAACTCCTTTTGAAATGCCATGATAGTAAATAAGTGAGTTCAATTGGTCAATCAGCTGCTGCTTTTCACAATTCCTCATGTATGCACTTTCTTCTGCTTCTTTGGATTGATTGAGGCTCCTCCGATCTTCTTCAACAACCTGCAGACATATTGATAAGTGATAATGTAAATTTTTTGAAAATAACCGCATACCTTATTCCAGAGTTTTTATTACCATGACACTGTAGCTCATATACTTTACTCAGTAGTCAGTGGTATAACTTTACTTTTTTGACCATTTGTCATCAGGGCAAGTTCAACTTGCCAAGTTGGATATGAAAATTAGTTGCCGTGAATAAAATTCACTTGCCATGAGACAATGGCCACTGGGGTACCCAGGTAGAGGCTATAAATTAAGGGGACAACATGTTTACACATTCTTCCACTGCTCTAGATGGCTATGTTATACTGCTTCAGACCTGGCTGTGGCCCACAGAAAAACAAAATTTGAATCCATGCACAAGTACAACATGCACTGCATAAAAAATTTATCTGGCAATGAAAACATAAACTTGATGCCCAGCTTTTTGTGACAATGATATTCACTTGCCCTGGGCAAGTGTTAAATTACAACTTGGTTACTTATTGAAAGCATAATGATATAACTTAGTTGGCATCCTTAACCAATTAACCACCATCACTCTCCCACTCACAAATAAAATTGTCTGGCATTAGACAGGAATACAATAAAGGGTGCGATGCAACTTCATAGGTTAAAATTTGACATTTTGACTGTGGGACCATGATTTCTCAGACTCAAATTGACCAAATTGACCATAATGACTCAAATTTTCCCATGAAAGGAAATAAGTAATTTATTTGTAATCATTCTATTATGTAGGATAGAGTTTATAACATGAGAAAGAATTTTTGCAGCAAAATCCATTAGATTGGTATAAAATGTAATGGCGATGGTGTAATGGTGTTTGTGATTTAATATGCTATTGCCTCATATTCCAGAAAACATTCATATGGTTATGATTTAAGTTGTATGTGAGATAAGTGCTACTTGTTTCAGTAACCCGTTGAGTGATGGCACTGACAGGTAAAATCATCTGACATTATACGGAGAAAAACAATAAAGTTGTGGCACAATGCAGCTTATGCAATGTACGGCCTAGTGTAATATCCCGTTAACACCCCATCTCATCTAGCTTGCAATATGAACTCTATCGACTGTTTACGGTAAAGTGAATTATTCTACTTCTTTCTGGCCTAGGCAGGATCCCATTATTTGTTGCCGGGATTGCATCTGCCAGGACGAGAAATTCTTATACAAGCACTCTATCATCCCTGCCAGGCGGGGTGTATTCCGTCTATATATTAAACACACCATCCTGGATTAAAACCTCCTGTCCAGCCATGCCATTATCACATAAACAGGCACAATATATCACACACATATATGCAGGGTTAGACATGAGTGAAGACACTGGCGTTAGACAGGTGGAAAAAAGTAGGGCGCACTGGGGCACATTCCAGCTCAATGCCAATGGGTTAAATATTAATTTAAAGTCAACCATTTACATGCTATAAACCAAGAAATATGCACTGAACTGATAAGCTAATATTATAATCAATTCTATATATTGAGTTAACAATTTTATGACTCAGATAGATAACATTGTAATTGTAAGTTTAATACTCTCAAATAATTTTCATGTTTTGGCTAATAATAGGCTTGAAGCAATCAGCAAGTAAATATTATTCATAATCATATTCACATATTGTTTTATAATATACTATGTGGGTTCAAACATGCTTTCTCCAGTTTTGTCAACCAAGTGGCAAGTGTAACCCAGTATTTACTATGTGTTTATTCAAAATTTGAATTGTTGATTTTAACTAATATTTGACGGAATTGAAATGAAATAATTCAATATATAAAACCTCTCGCGCGCAAATTCAAATTTAGCAATAGCAGACAGCCACAACAGGCTATAACAGTCACAAGATAAAATGAGTAAATACGGTCGATGTACGTTATAATTATACGATATAAACAGTACTATTTCATACCTGAGATCAATAAGCCTTCGGCAGGATTCGGAGTCACTTATCCAGAACCAAATATGATAAAAAACACGATATTCTTCAGCGAAATATGCTCAAACGAAAAAGTCGAAAATTTGTAAATCACACTTGATACTTGATATACGATATCCCACAACTCATTGCGCGCGTGGCCCTTGTCTTCTAAAATACATACACCAAAAAGCGCTCCCAATCTATCGCTAGCTTAGCCTGCTCACAGGCTCTATTATATAGAGCCTGCGACTTTTATTGATATTTTTTCAATACGCCCCCTTTGAGATAATTGAATATCCGGTAAATAGTAGCCAATCAAAGCAAGTTTTGTTAATTAGATTACCAGAGGTTATTAACAACAACAAACAGTTTCTCGCGCAATTTTACGCCTGTATCTTTCACTAGGATTCCAAGGTCTAAACTTTAATCTAAAATAATTCATGGTCGTTTTTTCCCTAAAGTGTTCTAATATTTAAAACATAGTCCCGTTTGTATATTGCTGTCTTGTTCGTACATTGCCGTTTTAAATTATGTAACTATACTACAGAGACGTAAAATTTTACTCTCTATTAGTTAATGTATTTTATATATTTATATCCAAAATATAACTGTAAGATTTAAGGAAACGTATTTAGGTTTTGAACAAAGTAACAAACACTATTTATTAAAAGTGTCGAACAATAGCAGGCTAAAAAACAACATTAATCATTATTGCGTGAAGTCTGTCATTTGCTCAATAATACAATTAACTCAATAGACAATTTGAAAACCCGTGGCCGTGGCATCGATTCTGCCGTGTTTAATAACTACATTTTTTTGTAAAAAGCTCTTGTTGTAATAATATATGTCACTAGTTGAGACTCCCAAAAATAAAGTCTCAAAGAGAGAGCGGACTTCGGTCAAAAAACACGCAAACGACTATTGCAAAATTTCCAGGTGTAAATTCAAATTGGCCAGGTGTTCTAAGAACGACTTTCCTCGACGGCGTCTGTTTTAATAATTTGCCCATTGTCTTGACTTATTCAAGACCAGATTGTTTAGGCAGAAAGCCTTGGGTTGACAGGGAAGTATTTGGGAGAAATGTTCGGAGGCATTTGACAATCAACTGCTTTATACTAGCTGATTCACTGCCTGTGTCTCAACGAACGTCTCGCTGGGCTAACCTTAAGTTGTTCAACGTTTCAAACCGCAAGTGATGCAAACGCGGTTAGATAAATTGTTAGCCTGAACTAGACTTATTTTACTCTCTCTGCAAAGATCAGCAAGGCATACGTCGAAGTTTTCCCTTGTACTTCCTTGGAAAAGGTTTGTTATTATAGCTGACGAAGACAAAGTATCTGATATTACATGTAAACTTTTATCAAATCCCGTTGGAAGTACAGTTAATATTGCTAACCTTCGCTCATCCTTCAACGTTAATTTAAATTGAAAGGTTTCTCAAATACATTCAAGACAGTTACTTCTTCGAAGAGATAAACAAAGTCATGGTTTTATACGCCACTGATTGAATGCCAGCTTTAAAATTACATTGCGAAATGTCGTACGAGTTAAATATTTGCACGATATTAACTCATGGGGCACTTCTGACCAATGGGAATTTTGCGTACGCTCCGTACGCACAAATCGACTTTTTACTAATAAAGGTCGCAGGCCGTACCTCGCAGCCTCTGCCTGACAAACGGCCTGCAAGCAGGCTAGGTGCATCAGGGTGCAATGCGACTCAATGGGTTAATCATTATCTAACCGTAATGGGTAAACAAATCTGCCAATTTGTGTCTCTTGTTAACACATTATATAGTGCAAAGCACCCTGGTTCATCAGCCCACAAAACTCTATTATTTTATTCTGTCTAACACCAGACAATTTTAATATCCAAAAGACGACCTTAAGATTAAAAAATAAGGCGAATTACACAATGTAATTTAACACATTGACTGACAATACCCTATCTTATTCGTTTACTTAGCTGTTTAACACCAGACGGTTTTACTCGTCAAAGCAAGAGGCTGGCCACTTAATGGGTTACTAATTTTTAAGAATGTATATATGAATTGATATGTTCATTTTGTAATGTTTGATAGATTTCAGAGACTCAAGACTCTGTAGCCTGTAAAGAAAAAAAACTGTCAAACAGAGCAGTTGTGTTTGAAGTGAAACTGAATACAGCAACGACAAGAACGAAGAACCCCACAGCGATATCCAAGCAAGGATATATCGATCTACCAAGAAGAAGTGCATACAGGAGACAAATAGAAACTCTTGATGCTTCGGCAGCAATTAACGGTGGCTCTATTGTAAATAAAATACCTGCTTTAAATGGAATGTTTTCTACTATTATTAAATATGCTAATGTGCATGACATAGCTAAGTACTGTAGTCATCGAAAGTTTAAGAACTGTTTTGTAAGTGAAGCTAAGAAAGAGGTAGGTATATATGAGAAAAGTGAAGATAACTTTGTTCAGTCACTTTCTTTATTATATGCAGCGGGAGTCATTGGGAAGATTAAGTACATACAGGCTAAATCTACTTTGGTGATGAAAAATTCAGGTAAGTGCACCAGGAAAGGCTATTTATTAAAAGAGCGGATAAAAATTGGTTGTGGGATACCCATTCCAAAACCGTTTTCCTATGACATACTAATTAACCATATTGAAAAACTAGATATTGGAGAAATTATTAGCTTGGATACACTTTGTGCAGGCTTACCTTCTGAGCATCATGTTGATGGTGTTTATAGAGATTTGGAGAATTTGCTTCTTTCATTGTGCCAAATCTACTTCAAAACTGATCCTTTTCGTAAAGAAGGTGAAAAACTTGTATGGTTTGATGAGAATGAGGGATCATTCAAAGTAGCAATTGGTGGTGATGGTGCACCATTTGGGAATTGGGAGGAATCCATGGCATGGCTTGTGAGCTTTCTTAATGTCGGTCCCAGGGTGGCAAGCCCTAATGACAATTTTCTGTTGTTTGGGGCTAATTGCAAGGAAGACCACAAGGTTGTGAAATTGTACTGATCTGTACATCCAGATCAAACAAGTACAAGAGTTGATGAGAATTGCCAATGTTGCCATCTTCGATAGCTGTTGCTTTGATAACTTTTACACAAACTTTATTACAGCTAAAACATGTTCATCAAGGTTTTATTCTTCTAAGTACATTGCAGCTTGAAATGCTCTCTTTCGCAATTCATGCAAGGCAAATCTCATCAACTCTCATCAACATTTGGTCGGGGCTTAATTATTGATTTCAAGTTTTAACTGCAACCTTGCATGTGCGAAACTGTCTGCAACAAACTAGTTCGTTCATATTGTACAACTTAATTTGAATGGCATGCATTTAATATACAATACTTAAAGTTAATAAGTATTTTTTTAACCTGTAAATATTGAAGTTAAAGTATTTATTAATGTTATTATTTATTTATCAATTAAGTTATAATTTATTACTAAGTTTTGAACTATTAATAAAAATTAATGTTCATTTTACTATGAGTGTTGAATTACTGATCTTGCATGCAGACAATTTTACTTGTCAAAGTGAAAGTCTTGCATTTTAACGATAAACCTTGGAAGATAGTTTGTTTAACTCGTTTTGCATTAGGTCTCACCTTGACAAGTAAAATCATCTGGCATACAACAAAGAGAAATACTAAAGCAGGGTCAATAAAGTTCCATCCCTGTTTTAATTGATACAAAGAGTAAAACTAGTGAAAGTAAGGTTGGTTGTCTGTTTCTCTAAGTGAAAACTTATTTTGGGGACTAGTCAATTGATGTCTGGGCCAACCTTGATTCTCCTTTATGAGGCATGATCATGTTTACCAAGAGCTGCACAACAATATTTTCTGTCGTTGTCATATTTTTTGCCTTGTCAAATAGTTTGGAGAAAGGAATTGGGCTCAAAATATTTGTGAAGCTGCGAGTGGTCAAAATTGAACTAGTCCCTGATAGTCAAACACAATTTGGCGCTCACTAGTATTTGAATATCATTCATGTCAATCCCTTGTACAATAGTAACGTCAATAAAGTTGACAAGAATATACAATTACTGTTCTGTGATAATCCTGATATTTTGCTGAAATTGCTTGCATTCCATGAATGGACAACATTACATACCCATGCCTGATTTATTTTGTTTAATTCCAATTTAATGCTGACTTATTCCATACTTATTCCAATAGCCATAATGAAGTTTGACTTTCAAAATTTCCTCCTTTATCTTGTATTCAAAACTTCCTTTTATCGCACCATCAACTACAACTTTAACATGAACTTTATCTCCTTTCAGCTCTTTTGCAAATCCTTCACAGTTCACAAATTTATCAAAGAGAACCACAAGGCATCAAAGTTTCGCAAACCATATGGTGACAGAGCGTGGACCTTCTTTCACCTCGATGCCATAGCAAGACTCACCCAGGATATTTTTGTGGCATGCCAACATCAAAACATACTAACCAAGGATGTAACTTGCTCATTCGTGGATTGAGACGCCTGTAAATGGCACGATTTACGTGATCCATAATTCTTTCCAACATGGGATAGATTTTATGGCGCCAGCTCATTTTCGTGGTGATACTGAAGTTTGCCATATTTTGCCTTAACAACATCTCCAACAACTCGATCTAGCTCTTTAAATGTTGCAGACAAATCTATTGATCTATGGGAATTAGATGTTTCGCACATTAATTTTAACTTTTCACGATCTAGTGCACTTTTAATCCTGCCGATTACCTCGTCCTCGTTAGGATCAAAAGAGCGAGCCGCCATTTTGATTTTGCTTTCTTGTGACACAAAAATCGGCCTACATGAAGTAGCAAACAGCATAAAAATAAAAGTTGGCCCAATTCAGGACAATAATTGCCAGCCGTGTAATAAACGGGTACCAGATTATTATTTTGCCGTAATAACCTTCAACCCTGTAATTCCCCTGGAGAAATCAAATACAACTGCCTGCTTTAGATTGAAGGTTATTATGGAGGTGTTAAAAACCGATAAAATACAAAAGAATATGGTTTGATGAGTTTGTAAATGGCTTGTGTGCAGGCATTCATGTATATACCGTAAACCTCTGAATACATTAAAGCCCCTCTCCCCAATATAAGCACCCCCCATGTATAAGCCCACCATGTTCACTGATGCTCAGGCCATTACGAATATAACCCCACCCCTCCCCCAAATATAATCCCTTCTGTGCATAAGGACAGATATTCACTAACACAGGAGTGCATAAGGACAGATATTCACTAACACTATAACACTCCATAGGTATCTATAATGCTCCATACCTATCCATAACGCTCCATACCTATCTATAACGCTCCACAGATATCTATAACACTCCATAGCTACCCTATAACACTCAATACAATGTAGTTAGTCACGGACAAGCTGACACAACCATGACCACAGATGCCTCAAAAACAGGTTGGGGTTGCTCCCTAGCTGGCACACCTACAGGTGGCTCATGGGACCTTGGGGAATCTGAGAAACCCATTAACTGGCTAAAAGTTGAGCCATATTACTCTCCCTACAAGATCTGACTATGAAGACAACCATGCTGCTTGCCCTTGTTACTGGACAGCGTTGCCAGACCATACAGGTCTTGAACATTGAACAGATGGTTAAGAGTGATGACATGTGGTCCTTTCATATAAATAAACTGTTTAAAACCTCTCGACCTGGAAAGCACTTTGGAAAGATTGAGATCAAAGCTTTTACAGCAGACAAAGTGATATGTCCAGTTGCCAATTAGTCCGGTTTTGAACGCAGCTGGTTGGTCGAACACAAAAACATTCAGTAAATTTTATGACAAACCAATTGAAAGTGATCAAAAAGAAAAATTTGGTCATAGCCTCTTAAAAATTGTTAACGTGTAAGTAAAAATAAGTTACAGTGCTCATGGTCATTACTTTAAAGTCTCACACGTGACTCCATAGCGAACTAACCAACGACGTCAATTGATTGCTTCAAAGGACTGGATTGTATCACCAACTGTTTGGTCATAGAAAGATGCATAGTGTGGCTGTGGAGCCCTCTAAGGAATTGTCATTACCGTTTTGTGTAACAAATGCTTTTGCACACCAGCAATTTATGAGCTCAAGTTACCTTTCGTTAACAAATTTAAAAGAAAGTTTGGAAGTTTACATTGAAACATTCAAAGATCATGACAACCGTCCAGATGTAGGCTACATGCTTTATGGTTGAGATTTCGTCATCGACCTATTGGGTATATTTGACCTTCTTGGGCCTCTTGTTCTGATGATCCAGTCGCAAGCTCAGTGGTGTCCGGGCTGGAAGATTGAGAGTTACATCCCTTCTGTGCAAGATCAACTGACCATGTTTATTAACAAAATGGATGAAGCTATTCCATACCCAAGTGTTTGTCCCAGATTGAACAAACATCTATTGGATGTCGTGGACAAGAAGTACGGCAGATGTGAGTTGGATGATGGATGGATTTTAGTCGTAGAAAACAAAAGTTTCGAATGGAACCTGCCGACTGCATGAAAGATTTGAAAGAAATCATAATAAACATGAAAGTACAATTAGACAGCAGATTTGCCTCAAGCTTTCCGAAGTTGAATTCCATGCTGCACAAATGCTTGGACTTTGGCATACTTTTTACAGGATTGTGTGGAGTATGCAAAGATGGTACCCACCCAGTGAACAAAGGAGTATATGCTGCCTTGGGTGCAACTGAATTTAGAAAGTATGTCGAGTTTGTCTCCCAATTGCCACATGTCCAAGAGAAGAACATGGAATTCTCCTCCGAGCTTTCATCAACAGTGTTTTGGTGACTGAAATCTACATTGATGGATGTTGTTTGGGGTACGCAGTTCTCTTCACATTTCCCCAAATTTTTCCAACAAATAGTGGAGGTGGTGCAAAAGCCAGGAGCAGCAATGAGATGACACGTTGTTATGGGTGATATTGCAATTCCTGTGTTGGTGTATCTACAACATACATAGTTGAATTTGGGGAATCTGATCCCACCGTGTTCTCGTTGGCGGAGGTATTTCGGGTGCAGTTAAGCTGTGGAACAACCCTAGAAGAGGTACTCGAAGAAGATGCCATAATTCACACACTCTATACAGATTCATCCTTTTATACACTGGTTGGCCAGGAATTCTGCCAGTTGTTCGATATTATGTATGCCAAGACTGAAGCTGTGCCTCAACCTTTTTATCGCGTTGTCGAAAAGCAGGAGATGGAGGGCAAGCAAAGCCACGATGTTCTGGCATTACGATCAGATTGACTGGTGTTTACATCCTGTTTGGCAATGTGATTCGGCTCTCATGGAAATGGCACATATGTACATCAAAGGTGACAAGAAACGCGGTCTGAAAATGCATTATGTGCCAGTCTACAGGGACAAAAGGTCTATCAAAAATCGTTTCACTGATTGTTCCAAAGTTGTTGATCGAATTAAAAAGACGCCTGCCAAATTTCCTTTCCTGCTATAACTTCCCATTTATAATTGAACCATTGAGTAACTTTCTTAAAGTTAATTAACAAGCTTTCGTTGGCAGGGATGCAATAACCTGAAAATATAAGGAGAATTTCGATGTTTCGAGCGAAGGCCCTTCGTCTGGAGTTACTTCGTTTCTGCTGCCAGGGTTTCCACCCTTTAGTGATGATAAAACTCAAGTACTTTTCCAGGACTTTCAGTAAATTCAAAGACCTGAAACTAGACAATTTTTTAGAATTTTGTAGATAAGAATAATCATGAGCTTGGCTGAAGGATCTAACTGAAAAATATAAAAAGAACTGTCTTTGACGTTGTTTAGAGGAAAGATGGTGAGCTTAAATCTTGTTGATGTGTTTGGATGGTTCAGTCAGTAACCAGCATATTGTTTTACTGATGCTGCTGTGCTTCTGCCATATTGTGCTGCGTCTTTGTACATTTTTGGAACATTTTTCTCCTTTTAATTTAAACTGATTGGGCACTTTTGTGGAACCAACTGCGCTGTTATAAAGGGACGCAAACTTGAACAGTCAAGCTGATCATTCTACTAATTGTGATTGTGGACTGATTCAGTGTATGGGCTGGACTCTGATGATGATCCTGGTGCATCGCCATCCATATGAACTGTATACTACCCTAACCCTGTGTTTGTGAAGCTTGCTATCTTATCTTAAATGTACAGCTAAGTATTGTTATTATTTAAACTATCTTTAATTGATATCTACATAAATATTACAATAGCATCGTCAGCATGTAGTCAGTAGTCGAGGGTCCGCGGTCCTTGCCCGGCCATTAGTACAAAATTATAGCCTGAAAAACGAAACGATTGATCGACTTAAAAAATATGTTGTGTATGCTGACATTGGATCATGCTCTTGAGTTGGTGGAGTCAGGTAAAGAAATAATTTAATAAGCATATTATTCAATCTGATATAATACTTGTGCCAATGGCCCAATAGCTGCTTGCATTGCCATAATGATATAATCCTTGGGGCAACCCGAACCTCCATGCTCTAATACCAGAAATTATGTTGTTTGCCAATCCATATCTAACTACTCTAAGTTTAACAGTTTATCACATGCAATTATGCTCTTAATTAATAAGTATATGTCAGACAGATATCTACAAATAATGTAATTAAGTATATTAAAAGTTAAAAATTTGTGATTGCACACCATAGAACTTTCACAAATCAAAACTTTTAACTATTATATTATAACTATACATTATTTGTAGAGATCTGTCTAACATATACTTATTAAGAACATACTTGCATGTGTTAAACTTAGAGTAGCACTGTCAACAAATATACTGTACATTGATATTGGGCAGCCTGAATTTAAATGTGGTTACCAACTTGAACGACAAAACTTTTGTCTCAATTTTAACTGCTACAGGTATGAAGCTGCCTCGTCGCTAGTCGCTTTTTAAATTCGAAGGGAGGGGGATAAAGGGAGATATTGGAATATAGAGTTTTAATTGAAGGGGCAAAGGGAATGATGGGAAGGCGAGAAACGTGGAAGCGACTGGCAAATCCTGCATCCAAGATGGCGTCATTGGAAATGGTATAACTTTGTGTTTCTCACCCCAGAGTTTGCTACATCACCAGACATGTTAGATGTATTCTCAAAGATGAAATATAATGAAACTATCACATACATTGTTATTGATGAATGTCACTGTATTGATATGTGGAGCTTTGATTTTCAACTGGCATATTGGCCAATCTTCACCTTCTGACCAGTTTAAACTCTCAAGTTATTGCTTTAACTGCAACATGCAGTGTTGTAACAAGTCGCCTATAAGTCAAGTCACAAGTCGCCTATAAGTCAAGTCACAAGTCGAGTCAAATCACTCAAAGGTCGAGTCACAAGTCGAGTCATTTCAATAAGCTGATCCAGTTGAGTGTGGCTTCACTTGAGTCGAGTCAGCAGTTTCGCTCCAGTTAAATCGAGTCACTGGTTTAAGTCAATAGCTAGACTTGACTTGAGTCAGGGAATTTGATCAAGTCCATCCCCATTCTCCCTAGGCCCTGGGACATATGGAACCGGAAGCGCAAGAAAACTTGCAGTAGTTTCTAAAGCCCATGCTCTTGAATTGGGTCACTTTAGCACCTGTAACCATTTTCAAAATGAAGTATTATGAAGAAGCGAAGTATTTGCGTTGACATATGTTGATAGAATAATTTTTCGTAGTGAAAACTGCTCAACTTCTGTGAAATAGCATTCATCTGAGAATCCAATCAGATCTCTCGCTTTAGTTGTCTGACCCAGAGCCTAATTTAACAAGTGACCGAGTGAGAATGGTCCACCCTATGCTTTCTGTTATGGTTCACTACCTTAATTTGCAGTCTGAAATTAGTAATCAAATTTACGTTGACATACCTAATCACTTTAGTCATGTAATAACAGTATCTGGGCAGCTATAGGCTGTACCAATATCACAGTTCAAGTCAATATTAAGTACGACCACATGAGATGTCTTCTCCTACCTGCTGATTGAGTGTACGTACATACAACGAGCATAACTTGCAACTGGAGTCAGAATTAACAAAGAATAAACTTTAATTAAGCACACTTTGTAAGTTCGTTTGAAATTATATGGCACTTTATAAATACCAAAAATGAAAATAGCTGGTCAGAATTAGTATAAGTACAAAAAATTTTGAGACTCCATGTTCGATAGAGACGCTATATTTGACAATACATGAAGTGTTACAAAATATCTGTTTGTCTGTAATGTTTTCGTTTGTTTTTCTGTAAAAGTACATAAAAGTTTTGTCTGTTTTTATGTGTAAAATATTGTCGAAATCGAAGGAACAAATGGTACTTCGTCAAAATGTTTTAGTGGAGAACCAGTGAATAATCGGGTAGATTTCGCATCGAAATATCAAGTTTTATATGGATTTTATATGAAAATATATAGGGACAAAGTCACAGGATTTGGATCGAACACTGAATACTTATGGTTTGAAATAATCACAATTCTCGATAAAATGGCAACATCGACGATTCCAGAATTGAAGAAAGCTAAAAGGGTAGCGAAAGCGACTATGACAAAGGTATTAACAGAGCTGGCTACAGCAATGTCCGAGGCAGAAACCGATAAAGTGAAAGTTAAACTTCATTTAGAGCGAGTCGAAGAGTTAAGGCAAGAAGTGCTTTCTATTTTAGACTTGTTGTGACAAGAACAAGGATTCAAAAATGGCGAAACAATACGGCAACAAGTACGAAGAATTTAACAACAAAATCGATTGGGAAACAAGTAATATTAGAACATATTTGAACAAGACCGCATTGACACAAGTAAAGGAAGTGGCGACACTGGAGTAAATGAGGGTAGTAGTGGGTTGAACAAGGGGTCTGGTATGAAGGGTGAACATCGACAGTTAGCACAAATTCGAATTTCTGTATTTAATGGTGACAAGTTAAAGTTTCAACAGTGGTTTGCAGCATTTATGAGTTGTATTGATAAAACTTCAATGGGACCAAAATTTAAAATGAAACGACTGGAAAGTTGTTTAGAGGGGGAGGCAGCAGAAATGATGAAAGGTTTCGGATACTCGGAAGTTGCATATGAAGCTGTGAAAAATCGATTGATAAAATATGGCGGGGTTAGGCAAAATGTCCAAGCGTGAGTCAGATTTAAAGGCAGGTACCTTGTATGGTATTGTATTAGAGAAGGACCCGGAGATGCTTCTAAGTCAGTATTATCGATGGCTCAAAGAACAGAAGAAGGAAGAATCTTTGAAAACTTTGAACTGTTGGATTGCGGAGGAAGCTGAATAACAAACGCATGCAGCCGAGAGTAACCAGGGATTCAGCCGTGGAAGAGAGGACAGAAAAGGTGATGAGAAATCAGGACGAAGGGATTACAGGGGTCGATTCGACCAATCGTTTGGTACAAGTAACATGGAGAATCATGGCAACAAAGAAAAGCCTTGTGTAGCTTGTGAAGAAACACATCCTATTTGGCAATGTCTAATATTTAAGGCGTGGTCTGGTGACAAGAAATGGGAAATTGCTAAACGTGCTGGATTGTGCTGCCGATGCCTTGGAGATAATCACCTTGGAAAAGACTGTAAGCAAGTCGAGTTTGCCCAGTCACAGAGTGCAACAAGAATCACCACCAATTGTTATGTGAAGTACCAAACCCAAAACCACCAATCCAAGACCCACCACCTGCCATGGAAGGGGATGCCGGTGACAAAACCACTATGGAGACAGTTGACAAACATGAAGGGAAGTCAGTAGCTCTTCGGATAGTGCCAATAATTCTGAAAAATGATAAGAAACGACTACTAGTGAACTGCTTTCTGCATGAGGGAAGCGATACTACATATGTAAACGAGGATGTTATCGAGCAGCTTGGACTTCAAGAAGAGAAAGAACCAGTGACCATACAATTCGCTAATGCTCAGCAAGTTACCTTTATGTCTGCAATAGTCGAGATCGGAATTGAAAGTGTAGATGGAAAAGTGGACAGTGTCATTGTTGCTAAGACATCTTGAAAGATCTGTGGAACAATGAAGCCTACCAATTGGGTGAAGATAAAAGATAGATGGGATCACATGAAAGAAATCCCATTTCCAAAACTTGCTCAAACCCATACCATTGATGTACTGCTCAGAGCAAATTACTAGCATCTGATGATTCCAATCAAAGCAGGGTCTTAGCCAGGATTTGCAACTTGGGTGTCCAAATTTGAAATTTCGTTTATGACACCCAATTTTTACCACATGTAACCATGGCACCACTTCATGCATCAGTAATTCAGCAATGTGATTATTCCCGAATGCTGGGAGTAATTAGTGACCGCACTACAAAAAACTAATAATATATTCAATTATTCAGACTAAATTACTACTCACTACACTGACTAGTACTGTAGTACAGTTTAAGTAAATCTGCCAATATATTAATTTTATGATTGATATTATGTTGTCATGCACTTTCATGCTATAAATACAGTACTTGTAGCTTCGATAATTAAGCTAGTGTGAGCGAAGAACACAACCAAAAAAACAACAAAAAGCAACTTATTATCTTATATAGTCATATTCTGCGGTTTTTGTCAGCTAGGTCTAGGAATATTTCAGCTGCAGCTTGCAAGTGAGCAATGTTAATGTTTCCATGGTATTTTATTCTCAGCAGCTTGTCTAACCGAAATATGGTCAGTTGGTTTCGCAGTTGTGTTTTTATGCGATTCTGCATGCTAAACACCCTTTCTGTTTCTGCATTTCCAACCATTACACACAAGCAAGTTGCCATAGTTGAAAACTAGGCGAGTCTATTTCCTGAAAGGACAATAAAATTTGCTTAGGTGTCACTGGCGGGCGCATGTTTACAAAATTACATATTTCTTGCAAAATTACATATTTCTACTCAGCGAACGAAACGCAAATACATGATTTAACATAATATTTTATTGTAAGCTTTTACCTAGCCGTCCAAAAGACGTCACCATGATAGCGAACCGTCCAAAAGTCTTTTTTAGAAGGCCATCCAAATTTGAAAATGGCCGTCCAAAAGACGGCTGGACGGTAGGCTGGCTAAGACCCTGAATCAAAGAGATTCCTGGAAAAGAGAATGAGCCAAGTGCCCGATTGTGTCCTCTTGGTTGGACAGCCATTGGAAGAATTTACAAAGGCTGGCCGGTTGGAACCATCTAACACGAAGTTCTTTCGAACTTTCCATGCACACAGTGAAGAAACCCACCATTCGGTAGTTGGGCAAGGTCAGACGGATGGAGAATTGAACTCTACTGTTAAACGATTTTGGGACCTTGAATCAATTGGCATAACAACATTACTGAAATGACACCAATCGAGAAATTGGCATGGAAGAAAGCTCAGAGCTCACTGCCATTCAACGGAGAATGTTATGAGATTGCGGTGCCATGGAAAGACGACCAACCCCAGTTGCCAACTAATTCACCGATGGCAAAAAAGCGACTCAAGTCAGTTGAGCAGAAGTTGTTACGAGATAACGAATTGGCCAGGGCATACCAAGGTGTAATCGAAGATTACCTTTATTTATTTATTTATTTATTTAGCTTCGCCTATAATTACACAATCAAACAACACGTACACACAACCATTTTTGTCCAACCCGAAAACAAGCAAACTTCAGCGCCCCTGTCTGTGTTTCAACATGATGGTAAAAACAAAAACAAACACCCTTGACCGCTAACCTAGGACGGTTTAATTTTACAATTATATTCATTTTAGAATAGCTTGATTTTTATAAGACCAACATGACTTGGCATAGACCTAGACAAAACATATTGAAACGCAGCAAATACGCCCAGCCTCCACGTTTCAAGGTTGGACAAAAAGGTGACAACAACAAAAAGGCGGGGTCACCACAACAGCTTAAAACCAATTACTGTGGGTCCTTGAAGAGTTCTCTTTAAGATTTCTTGTTGCAAATTTACAGTAAATTTCATCACCCAAAGTTGCAATTTTAAAACGCTACAAACACGCTCCTTTCCCACCCCTCTCACAGAAAGAAAGTATATATCCGTAAAGTTGTACAAGACGAGTCAGTACAGGAAACTGAGTGGTTTTTACCTCACTTTCCCGTGGTAAGACCAGAAAAAACAACTACCAAAGTTTGTGTCGTTTTTGACAGTTCGGCCACCTGCGAAGGAAAAAGTTTAAACACCGAATCATTGGCCGGCCCGAAGTTGCAGAGCAATGTATTTGACATTCTAGTTGGCTTTCGGCAGGAATTGGTTGTATTAGTTGGAGACATTAGCCAAATGTACCACCAACTTGTGTTATTACCAGAGGATAGGCCGCTGCATTGATTTCTGTGGTGAGATTTAGATCAGTCGAAGGAACCGGAAGTGTACGAGTTTCTACGGTTCATATTTGGAGGTTGCTATTGTCCGTTTTGTGCTCAATGTGCTTGGCAAATGCATTTCCATTGGCAGCCGCTGCAGTTCAGAATCATTGTTACATGGATGATTTGACGCCATCTTTGCCAATGATCGAAGAAGCGAAGGAAACACAACAACAATTATCGAAGCTTGGTGATAAAGCAGGATTCCATATTCGGAAGTGGTTATCCAATCGAGTCGAAGTCTTGGAGGACATTCCAGCGATAGATCAAGCATCAGAAGTCAATTTAAACAAGTGCATTTTCCCAGTGAAAAAGACTTTAGGCGTGCTATGGACAGCAACGGAAGTTTGTTCTTCTTCTGATGCTCATCGCCTCCTGAGAAGTTCGAGTACACTAAGCGTAATGTATTGAAAAAGACAGCGATGATACACGACCCTCTTGGCTTATTATTGCCATATATTATTCGAGCTAAAATGTTAATTCAGCAAGCATGGTTAGAAGCGATCGAATGGGATGACTCATTACCGAGTCATCTCATAACACAATGGAGACAGTGGTTTAATGAAGCTCGTGGAGTTGAGCAGATTAAGATTCCTAGATGTTTGAAATTACCGGAACAAGTCGGAACAGCATTAACTTTGCATGCATTTACAGATACCTCAGAGAAGGCGTACACAGCAACGGTTTACAGCCGGCATGTATCTCCTGATGGAAGAGTGACAGTAAGGCTTGTTGCATCGAAAACATGATTGGCGCCTCTCAATGCAATCAGCATTCCGCGACTGGAACTTATGGGAGCTATGATCGGATTAAGATTGTCAATACAAATATGCTTAGTCATGAATGTATTGCCGAGCACAGTTACATTCTGGGTCGATAGTCTGAACGTCGTCTGTTGGATTCAAGGACAGAGTTGGGACTATAAACCTTGTGTAGCGAATCGTGTGGGCGAAATACACTAATATTCTAGCCCTGATCGATGGAGATATGTATCGATGAAAGAAAACCCTGCAGATCGCGGTACTCGAGGAACATCGGGTTCGGAGTTAGCTAGCGACGAACTGTGGTGACATGGCCCACAATTCCTATGCGATATGGAAGATAAATGGCCAGAACGAAGATCTTCAAATACACCAGATTCAAGTCAAGAGTTAAAAATGCAAGTACGAGCAAACAGACTTGAACAATGTATTTCTCGAGTCGGTAGACGAGTCCCAACCCAGAACTCTTATGGCTAACAAGGTAGACCTGATGTGGTGACTCAAGCCTACAAGATACTCCAAATGGTATATAATAAATCAACCAGGGAAGTGTGAAATAGGACTATCGATCGTGCGAGTGCAAAGTTGGGTTAATCGGTTTATTCGGAATTGTGAAAGAACGTGCAAGAACAGAGAAACCGAGGAATCGACACCAATGGAGCTGGTCATTAGCAAGGAACAAATAATCAAAAGAGACACAAGAGAAAGCCTTTGCAAAAGAGATTGCTGCGTTGAAGAAAGGCAAACCGGTACCAAGGAGCAGCTCTTTATAAAAGTTAAATCCAATGCTCGAGAATGGAATGTTATGGTCGAATACGAGATTATGAAATGCAAAGGAACTTTAAAACGAACTGAAATTTCCAATAATATTGCCAAAGAAACACCATGTAACAAGACTTATTGTCAAGTGTCACCATGAGAGACTGAGCATCATGAAATGGGTGTGAACTTTTCGATCAACCACCTAAGAGAGAAGTACTTTTGCCGAGTGTTCTCGACGTTTTAGATTATGGACTAAGACACAGCAAATGTCGCCATTGCCGGACATTCATCTGGAAATGGCTGGCAGGCTGTTCGAAAACTGTGCAACCGATTATGGAGGACCTTATTTCACAAAACAAGAATGGGGAAAGGTTAGAGCTAAACAATATCTGTGTCTTTTTGTATGTCTTCAGACTCACTGCTGTCATCTAGAAACGGCTTCGTCACTTGACGTCAGTGGATTTATGAATGCATTTGTAAGGATGGCCACCAAGCGGGAATGGCCAAAGAAGATGTTAAGTGACAACGGGACAAATTTTGTTGCCGCAGAAAAAGAAATACGTGCATTAGTTGAACAACTTGACCAGAAGCAAATGGAGAGAGCAACTGCAAATAAAGGTATTGGTACTGGAATCCGCCAGCAGCACCACACTTGGGCGGGGTGTTTGAGAATATGATAAAGTCAGCCAAACGAGCAATTGCTGCAGTTTTGCCAAACGCGGATGTCAATGACGAGGAATTACAAACAGTTTTCACTGGAGTTGAAAGTCCACTAAATTCTCGACCATTGACAACGATAAGTGATGATCCTAATGACAAACATGTACTTAAGCCAAACCATTTTCTGATAGGACAAATGGGAGGAGATATTGTTCCCGAGAATGTAGATACGACAGTATTCAATGCCAAGAAGTGGTGGAGACGGATCCAAGAGTTAGTGCGACACGTATGGAGACGATGGATGAAAGAATATCTTCCACACATTGGATCTCGAAAGAAATGGTTTTTACCAACAAAGAATTTGAACGTAGGCGATGTTGTTGTGGTAATTGATCCAGACCCAGCGAGAGTAGAAAGTTGGGCGAATAGAACAGGTTTATCCCGGAAATGATGGACGATGGACTGGTTCGGGTTATTGACATTAAAGCTGGTGGACGAGTGTTGAGGCGACCGATAACACGGGTATCTCCGTTAGAAATGTGAATGGACAAGAAACTTATAAATCGACTGTTCATAATGCGTTGTGTTAGTTACTGAGATTACGAATTTCGAACTGCATTTCTCTCAATTCGGGAGGGGGAAATGTTCGATAGAGACGCTATATTTGACATTACATTAAGTGTTACACAATATCTGTTTGTCTGTAATGTTTTCGTGTGTTTTTTCTGTAAAAGTAAATAAAAGTTTTGTCTGTTTTTATGTGTAAAATATCGTCGAAAATTAAGGAACACTCCATTTTGAAAACTGTGACACTAGCGTCGTTTCTAAAAACAGAAATGTAATATACGCATGCCCATCAGGAATATATTCTATGCAAATTCCATACATTTTCTGATAAAGTTTTGAAGTTCTCATTGTTCACAGGGCTCATTGTTCTTCCCAAGCAACACAATCACAATAATTTTGATGAATTTATTCTGTACAAGTTGTAGCTGAGTTGACTTGAGTCATTTACGGCAAAATCAGCAAGTCGAGTCTGAGTTGAGTCATTTGGGGCTGTTGACTCGAGTCGAGTCATTTTTCGTATTGGACTTGAGTCGTTGAAGCTAGCGACTCGAGTTGACTAGAGTCCGAGTCAATGACTCGACTTGTGACTACAATGGCAACATGTACCCCAAGGACTGAAGAAGTCATATTATCATGTCATCACTTAATCTGGAAAACGTTAAAACAATAAAACAAACTTGTGACAGACCAAATATTTCACTCATTGTGAATCCAAAGAAAGGTGATGGTAAGGAACAAGTTACAAACATGATCGTGGATCAATATTCAAATCAGTGTGGTATTGTATACTGCTTGGAAAGAGCTACCACATTGGACATGGCATATTCCTTGCAATCAAAAGGAACTAATGCCACTTAATATCATGGTGCACTTGACCCATATAAGAAAAAAGAAAACTTTGAAGCATGGTTCGAAGGAAAAGCACTGGTAATGTGTACAACTATCGCTTTCGGAATGGGAATCAACAAACCTAATGTGCGCTATATTGTTTATTTGAGCATTCCACAGTCAATGGAGGGCTATACACAAGAATTTGTGCAGGAAGAGATGGTCAAGAGTCCACCAGCTGCCTCCTGTTTCGCTTTGAAGATCGCACTAAACAGCTAAAGATGATTAGCTCCCTTCCAGATAGTGAGCACCATTCCTTGAAGGTCAAGAACCTCAATTAAATGGTAAGTTTTGCATTGTACCAAAATGCAGAAGAGTCCAGCTTAATATGGAATTCTTCGGTGAGATTAGTCATGAGACCTGCTGTAATAAATGTGATTTTTGCCTTGGCAAAGCAAGCGTTAGCTCCCTCGATGGAAATGATGCATTAAATTTTTATGTTGTTTAATTTATATGCAGAAGTTACATGCTAAAGTTACTTTACATCATCTTGTTTTGACGTACAGAGGGTCGAAAAAAAAAGAGATTCTAAACAAGTCATTCAATAGCATTCCTGAGTTTGAGAAAGGAACAGACAACTTCTCAGAAACTAGGCTTAAACATTTCATCCAGTTATTGATTTCTGAAAGTGTTATTGTTGAAACTCTAAGAGATCTCAACGAATTCAGCACAACTCCATACTCGGTATGTGGAGATAAACATAATGCGCTTACAACTAGTGAACTTCAAATTTGCAAGTATGTTTATAAGTGATATAATTATTGTAATTCTTCTATGTAGACCCACACCACAAGATAAAGTCAATCATGTTTTTGTGTTATTGTTTGCCACACAAAAGCATGTGCCATTCCAGAAAACATCCATACCACTTCTACAGATGAAATTGGAAGTTAACCCCACCCCCTTCAGATGTCCTAACACATTTACTATTATCAGAAACAATTTTTTCTCCCATCCCCCTCTGGACGGCAGAAATTTCCTCCGTGGGTGGAGTATGGATCTTTTCTGGAATGTCCCAAATTTTGGAAAATGATCATAATTAAATGTCATTTGAAAATTTGCCAGGAATGAATAAATCCCCCGGAAATAAAAAATTTAAATATATAAGATATAGAATTAAAGTATACTGTACTTTGTAAATTGTCGTATGTGTGTTTGTGCAATATTACTGCACAAGTAGCAATGTTGGGCAACTTCAATATATATCATTATATATGGTCAATTATAAGATTGTATAGCAATTGACAAAGTTAAAAATTAATGCTAAAATGCAAGTACAGTCAAACAATTACAAAAAAGCATCACATATTATTTTGGCTAAAAGAAACATAATATTATATTTACACACACTGTTTCTGATATTTTATAAAAAAAACTTATTGGTGTTGAAGTCTACCATTTCATACTTTGACTATACTTGATTTTGTCCATATGACGTTTCTCTTGGCAAAATCGATAAGTGGCACTTCCTCAAGTTCAATCACTCAACTGTATTATTTACATATTAAATCTTCTTTAATATCACTTCAATTAGGTGAAAAATATTTGTAAGCCACTTTGCTCTGTTGTGCACACCAATGTTTACAATAAAATTATTTCAAATTCTCACTTGCAAATAACTTTGCTTTCTTTTTTATTTTAAAAATTCAATATAATAAAAAAGGGAATCAATATTAAAGATATACTGAAATTATATGCTGTCTTGTTTAGTTGTTTCATATATGCAAAGGCCGTCGGGTTTTAAAGCCATTATAAAATCAATATTTAAAACAAATTTACAAAATCTTGCAAAAATGCAAGAAAAAATTAAATATATTTGCAAGAAATTTATCAATCATCAAATCAAGAAATGTTTGCTATTTCGCTGTCGTCATGCAGTTGTTATAATGCAAACTTTAAATTGGACCAATCAGTGTCCGCTATTCATGACAGTCCACCATATTTTTTAGATCAGTGAGGATGACCCACCCATCGTTGGTAACCCACACCTGTGATAATTGATGAACTGTAGACTTTGCTAATACTTTCGTTTCCCCAGGTGTAAATAGCCGGGGGAATTAGTACATAGGAATAGCTCAGGGAATATTATCTGCTGTAAAGTTAATAAACATATTCAGTAAAAAGGAAAAAGCATTCGTGCTGTGCCCATTCCTGAAAGATCACTGTGTGAAAGGATCCAGATGTTACTTTTTGCATAGAAATGTTTCCTGCAGTATGCGGACTGAAAATCCAACAAGGAAACCTCCCCAATCCACAACATCATGATAAGTCCCTAATACCCTGTCCTTTTTTACAGAGAAATGGATTGTGTCTAAAGGATAATAGATGCGATTTTTCCCATCATCCAGGTTCTGATAACATGGTTGCACCAATTTCCTTTAACTAATTTCCTTTTCCCTCCAATTAGAATTATTATTTTCTCCCATTCTGTCATCCAATTCCCCATCCCTCATTCCCGATGTTAAAGCACCCGTACCCACCATCGTCAAGACCCCCAAACCCACACCGCCAAACCCATATCCAGAATTTAAATGTGCAGGTAAAAAAACAAATACTTGTCAGAATTACGGCACATATTCCTGTTATATATTGTCCCAATACCCACGAGACCACCCAGACGGTGATTCCAAGGCATTTTAACACAATCACAAGTAAAAACTCAAAAGCTGCTCATGTCCCTGCCTTTTTTCTATCCAATGTAATGTCACTGGCCCCCAAAATTGATGAAGTACAGGAAGTAGTCAGATGCGGAAAATTCCAATTTATTATTATAGTTGAGACTTGGTTGCATAATCACATACAATACAATGCAGTTAATCTTCAGGGATATAATCTCACCTGCAGAGACAGAACCAGTGGTCAACACGGAGGTGTTTGCATGTATATTGAAGATGCAATAGATTTTGAGAGGCTAGACGAAATCAGTAACGATTTGTTTGAAGTCCTATGGATTAACATGTGTATAGCCATTGTGTATAGCCAAATTATACGAGTCCCAAAATGGACCCCATTTGGTGACTTGATCCTTAAATTTGGGTAATGTGAGGTTTTGGCTACTTAGGTTTCAAAGAAGATACTGAAATTTGATTTGATTCTGTTGCCCCATACCATATCCACCCGATTCACTACTGCTCTCATGATTCGTAACATCACTCGTGTGGATCATAACTTCGCTTGAATTTTCACTGCTTGTCATAGGAATATTTCCATTTTCGTGCTGAATTGTCACCATTGAGGCATTCGTATTTTCTGTCTTCATCGCTTCGAGTTTCACCTTATCAAGTTTACACTTTGCACTGAGTATTCATCCCATAACGTCTGCTGATTCCTCGATCTCGTTTTCAATGCTCGCAATTTCGCATATTCCCAATATTTCCTCGTCTATATCCGTTAATATTTTCGATTTTTCTTCCAGTCAAGAACGAATAACTTCGCATCTATTGTAATCAATTTCATCTGCATCAGAATTATTTCTTCGGTTTCCTTAGTTAACTTCGTACAAACGCCATGATAACCACCTCGTTTCGTCCTCAATCAATCACGTTTATCCTTCATTTCAGCCATAATATCACTCAAATTTTTGCTTGGGCCTTAGCTTGATCCAGGTAATCAAAGCTGCCCAGGTTGGATGCCACGTAATTCATTATAGCCGAAACTTTGTCTACATAATCTGTACTTCTTCGACAAACACACTTACAAATATACAAACTTACAAAACATATTGAAAAGTGTTCATTCTCAAAACAATGTGCTCAGTCATGTGACTGGCCACAACACATTTGAAAATAAACACTCAAATTACTTTCACACTCTGCACACGATCGGAAGTAAAATACACTTTTATGATCAATCCGGTTAGAAAATATAGATCAGTGCTTGGTAACAAAGCCTTAGAGTGACCCGAAATTTTTTTTTCCGCATGCCTTAATGTAACAAACCAAAGCACCTGGTACGAAGCAGCACAGCGCCAGTAAATTAGAAATAACTAAGACGAGAAATTATTATATGATTGTAATGTGAAGTATAAAACCTAAAAGAGTTACATAAACACACGCTTTATGTAAACATGTGATTATTAATCATGTGATTATTAATCATTAACTAGTAACTATTATTAACACAACTTTACACTGTCAGTTGTGGCGTGGTTCCTTTTTGAGCTGTGACAGTTTGTATCAAATTTTTCCAAACATTTACATGCAAATAATATGAACACCTTATCTCCAACGACGTTTACTTTACGAATCTACCAAGTTTCATACTCAAAGTTACGGTGGCTCAGAAGGGACATAGTCTCTCTACTTTTTTATTGTCCCACTTATTTATACGTTGCGACTTGCGATTTATGTTGCGACTTAAGTTGCAGGCTTATTACTTCCGGTTAGTCGCATAAAAAACGCAAGCTGCTTATCAAGTTTGTCTGCTGTCAACACCGTGATGTCGGAGATAGATCAGGTATATATTTTATAATTTAAATTATGTTTATGTTTTGTTTGTAAGTTATTCATTTAGTAAAATGCCGTGAAGTGCGGAAGAGGAAGTATGCCGCAATTTCCGAGTTGAAAAGGTATAAAATTATTAACATTTGATATAAATAGAAGGCAATTATAAACTCCTTCAAATATTAAAATAAGAATATTCATGTTCAAAGAATATGTTGATAGAGGCAATGAATCCCAAATTCAAAATTTTTAAACCAAAATACACAAGGCTATATTCTTCAAACTTTGCCTTCGAGGATTATATTGGGTAATTTATATAATATGCACTCTCGCTTGCAACTACTAAAGGCTAAGTAAGGATTAACTGTCACAGATTTCTATGTATCATTGTCTATTCTGATAACAAAGTTCAATGTTTGTGATGATCATTTGATGCAGTGTGACCAGATATTTTGCAAGGCAAATGCTAAATAAGCATGCAAACAATTACTAAATAAGCATGCAAACAATTACCAAAATGTAGAGAAATCTTTATCAGCAGTTTTTTTTGTTCTTTTATGTTAAAGTATACATAATCCTTGACTTGATAACACGATGATCTAGTCAATGAAAATTGGGCAAACGTGACCGTTTAGTAGTTCAAAGACCCTATTTTCATTCACAATTATTTTCAAAGACCCTATTTTTGTGGCAATTTGTTGGCTGATTTCTAGTTTATATTGTAGAATGGGTTCCTAGTGAATTAAATTAATTAATTGTCTATCTTCTAACAAGTAGTAATAAGCACGACTCCTTTTTGTTGATGGATGTTGAATTCATTTTAAACTTTTGTTCATATACAACAAGTACACTACCGAGTACTGCATCACTGTTTGCACAGAAATTAGCCTATATTACCAGCACAATTCAAGCTTATTTTTAAAGTCAAATAGTTTCTCCTTGGACAAAAGTAGTTTTTATGGAGTTAAAAATAGGCCAAGTGCGAATTTAAAGAAGGTCAATTTGCACTTGTATATCTCACTTCGAAAAAGGTATACATATAAAACAAGTATATTTTTATGGCAAGTTTTTTCTATTTTTCGGCTATTTTTTCTGAGCCTGCTATCAGCATAGGTCAGTGGTGATCAGATTGATTCAGCTAATGGGGCTAACAGCTTGTAATTGGGATTGTACAGCTTTGAAGGCATGGACCTCTAACTGGTCTAATTGAATCTTTGAGCTGGTTGTGTCATTTGGTGTATTAATGATAGCCAATCAGAAAATAGTGATGATAATATTAATAATTGGTAATTTGAATTTTTTCTGTGTTGGTGTTGTGTACTCAGGTGAATAATATGTTTGCGATGTTACTCTGAGTGCATATCCACACCGGGCGAGCTTGAAATATATGCCCGGCCACGGTGGGATTCGAACCTATGACCTTTGGAATACTAGCCCAATGATCTTCCAACTGAGCTACGCGGTCAGGACGGTTCAAGTGATATTTCGGAACAGTATCTAGTTCCTTCAATACCAATGTGTTCTAGTAATATGAATTTTTTCTGTGTTGGTGTTGTGTACTCAGGTGAATAATATGTTTGCGATGTTACTCTGAGTGCATATCCACACCGGGCGAGCTTGAAAAATATGCCCGGCCACGGTGGGATTCGAACCTACGACCTTTGGAATACTAGCCCAATGCTCTTCCAACTGAGCTACGCGGTCAGGACGGTTCGTGTAAGCGATATT